GATCGACTGATATGCAACATGACCCTTTCCGGTCAGGTCATGACCTTGACCTGAGGTCAAATTTTCAAGTTGACCTTTCAAGGTCAAGTTATAGTTCATTCGATGCGTCTTGACGAGAGGAACACGATGCCGGTAAAAGTAAGCTCGTACAGGGCTTGGGGCAAAAGTTATTGCAGAAAAACTGTTTCCGAAAAAATCGGCTATTTTTGCAGTTTTTGCCCCCTGCAGGCAAAACCGTTGACGTTAGGTCAAATCTGAGGGTATTATTCAGAAAGGGCGTTAATAGGGCTATCGAATGCGCTTTTCCGCGGCGCTGTAGCTCTATTGGTTCCCAAGTTATGCGTTGGCTTCTTGGAAATTTTCGACATTCGACCTGGAAGTCGGCGAAATTTTGCCTTCAATGACCTCTGGTGACCTGACCTTTGACCTGACCAAAAAATTGACCTAAGTAATTTTGTCATTATTTTTGACGCTCTTTCGAACGCCGCCTTCTGCGTATCGCTACGTGGCCCAGGAGCCGAGTTACAAGGGGGGGGGGTGTTCAAACACCCCCCCAGCAGGGCGTGGAAATCCAGGACCCCCAGCCGGGCGCGGGTTAACACGCGCGCCGACGGGGGGCGGATATCCGCCCCCCCTCAGGTTTTATGACGCATCTAACCTTGCAAGGAGTGCATCGAATCACGATTCTGTGTGCTTGAGATAGTTGGAGATCATTCCCGGCGCCAGAATAGCAGTTTTCATTTTTTCCCGTTGACTTATAATGGTGAGGTCACGAAAATGACCTGACCTCGTATGACCTTTAGGAAAAATCCGAGATAAATAGGTTGTGAGACTCATAATGGACACTAGATCCTGCAAGTTTCATTTCCCTGTGACATCTCCTCTGGCAGTGAGGGCGTTGCGAAGTTGCGACATCTGAAGACCGTGCAGAGGTTCACTTATGACGTCATACGTCAGTGACCTGACCTGAACAAAAAATGCGGTTGGTGTCAAAAGATGCGGCTTGGATCAAAGGTCAGGTATGCCCAGTTTAAGTTCTCTATCGCCAGCGTGTTCGGAGCTATCGCGAAAAAAACATATGGGGGGGCGGCACCCGCCCCCCCTCGGCCGGCGAGGGTTAAGGCTAATATATCAAAAACCTTCATTTTTGATTTTTTTAGAGTCAAAACTCAAAAATGTAAAAATCCGAGAAGGCCGTTTTGTAGCCCTATCAATTCTACACCTTTTTAGTCTTGATCATTTTTTCTGTATCTTCAAAGCTGTAGGCCTGACAGCTCTTCTCGCGAAGATCTTTTTTCGGTCGAAAATGGCAGAACACGACGTCATTCTGACGTCATTTGTGGCCAACCTATAATAGCCTCTGGAACATTTTTGGTCGCAATGTGTGAAATTGATGCCCGGAGGGGTCCTGAAAGTTTAGTGGCGATATCTCCAGCCGTTTAGGAGATATCGACGGAAAAGGACAGGGGGGCCGTTTCGCCCCCCTACCCTACGGGGCGCGGGTTAACCCTCGCCCGCACATGGGGGGTGGGTGGTTGCCACCCCCCAGGTAGTCTTTCTGCTCTGCACTCAACATTTTTAGAGCTAGAGGGCTGATTTTTGGTATAGCTGCTCCTCTATCCTTTTTTGAAATCCTCTTAAAATTTGAAGTTTCTGTGATTTTTGGTTTCGGAGATATGACCTTGTTTTTCAGGTCATGTCATGACCCAAATGGCCAATTCTCAACATCTTGCGTTTGCCATGGGCCTTGTGAGCTTTTGACACCTTGATTTCGGCCTTTTTTGCCAGTCTTACCTCCCACCTATCATGGTACATGTTGTTCGATGATATACAGGGGTCAAGGTCAGGGTCAAGTTCAACCTAGGTCATCTAAGATAATTGCGTTTTAGGCAAGCTGAATTTACTTTTTGTGAAGTTTTTGACTGCATTTTTGGTAAAAGCTTCTCAGATCATGATTTCATGTAATATGGACCCAAAAACAATCGGTGCACACATCAGTATACACACAGACACACACAGACATACAAATACATATAACTGACCTTGACCTAACTTGACCTGAAATGACCTCAGCAGCAAAATTCTAGTCGGGTAGTGTGACAAGGAGGTTCTAGCTGGCTTGGCACCAGAAAACAGCATCGTCATCGGTATTTGATAAGCAGCGCACTTGATATCCAACGGTGACCCAAAACAGCAACATTTTTTAGTTTGACCTGACCTGGAAGGTCAATGACTGACCTGAGAAGGTAAAACTGGGTATCATTGGATTCGTCTCTTCCCAAAGCATCTTTTTGGTCTTTACCGCTAAGCTCTATCTCCAACAGGAACGAAATGGCGCGGGGGGTGGCAACCCCCCCCCCCCATGTGCGTTCTAGGATGGGAAAATGGCATGTGCTGGCGAGGGTTAAAACCCGCACCCCGTAGGGCTACTGGCGGACCCTACCACCCGTAGGGTGGGAGCCGTTTGCCCCCCCCCCCTAAGATCTCGGGAATTTACCGGCCGATTTTCAAAATTCAAACGGCGTTCGATAGCCCCATCCGGGAACTACCTTGTGACCAAAGTTCATTGACCTAGGTCAAACCGATGGCGTCACGGGTCAGGTCAAAGGTCGGATTTTCACCGTTCACAGGCATTTCAAGAAATGTGTTGTGAAATCAAGTAAATTGGTAAGTTATTGAAAACCATCGATGGTACATTGTTCGTCAAACACATACTTCGCTATCTGAGGTCACTGATACCAGGTCAGGTCACAGGTCAGGACACTGGGGGGGGGGGTCACAATATTAAAGTGTCGTGTGATACATGTTTTATGGTCCATTTTGTTTGACAAATGCGATTATGTGGGTCAGGCAGCCTTTGGGGCCAGCTAAGGTCACGTTTTGGTGAAGGTCAGGTCAAGGTCAGGTCATATTAGGTCAAATTTTAAAGTTGATATTTTTCATAAAATGGTTCTTGATTCGATGCAGCTTGTCACAGGGAGTCCAATGGTGGTCTTTATTTTGCCCTACGTGGTCTAGAATTGCCAAAAATTTAGTTTGAAAATTTGATGTCATCATTTTTGAACTTAGCCATCATTTTTTAACTTGGCCGCTATAACTTGGCCAAAAAACGAGATATCGATCTGAAATTTGGTATGTAGATAGAAGACGGTAGGTACTATCGTATATATTCCGTTTTTTTCGAAACTCAAAAAAAAAATGGCTAATATCTCCAAAAAAAATGCATTTTTGGTTTTTGGGGGTCAAAACTCAAAAATTTTAAAATTCGAGATAGAAGTTTTGTAACCCTGTCAATTCTACACCTTTTATGTTTTTAGCATTTTTCTCTATCTTCAAAGCTGTAGGCCTGACAGTTCTTCTCGCGAAGGTCTTTTTTCGGTCGAAAATGGTAAAACATAACGTCATTCTGACGTCATTTGTGGCCAACTTATCATAGTCTCTGGAAAAATTTTTGGTCACAATGTGTAAAATTAATTCCCGGAGGGGTCCTGAAAGATTATTGGCGATATCTCCAGCCGTTTAGGAGAAATCGACGGAAAAGGACAGGGGGCGTTTCGCCCCCCCCCCTACGAGGCGTGGGTTTACCCGCGCCCCGTTGGGCTCTGCCGAGCAACGCGCCCTGTTGGGGGGGGGGGCATTTTGCCCCCCCCCCCCTATGATCTCGAGAACCACGCAACTTAGCGACAAGCGGCAAACGGTGTTGGATAGCCCTATCAGGGAACTACCTTGTGACCCAATTTTATTGACCTAGGTCAAACCGATGACGTCACAGGTCAGGTCAAAGGTAGAATTTTCACCGTTTACAGGCATTTCAAGAAATGCGTTGTAAAATCGAGTAAAATGCATTTCATTGAAAATCATTGATAAGCAAATGTTCTTCAAACACATATTTTATTATTTGAGATCACTGATACCAGGTCAGGTCACAGAGGTCAGGTCACTGGGGAGTTACAATATGAAAGTGTCGTATGATACATGTTTTATGGTCCATTTTACATGAAAAATGCGATTATGTGGGTCAGGCAGCCTTTAGGGCCAGCTTAGCTCACGTTTTGGTCATGGTCAGGTCAAGGTCAGGTCAAGGTCAGGTCAAATTAGGTCAAATTTCAAAGTTGATATTTTGCATAAAATGGGTATCGAATCGATGCAGCTCGTCACGGGGAGTTCAATGGTGGTCTTTGTTTTGCCCTACGTGGTCTAGATTCGCTAAAAATTAAGTTCAAAAATTTGACGTCATCATTTTTGAACTGTTTTTTTTTTTTCGCTATAACTTGGCCAAAAAACGAGATATCGATCTGAAATTTGGTATGTATAAAGGAGAGCGCAGGGACTATCACATATATTCCGTTTTTTTCGAAATTCGGATTTTTTGTTTTTTGTGTTTTTCTAAAAAAAAAATGATTTTTTTTGGGTCAAAAACCCAAAATTTTGAAAATCCGAGCTAGCAGTTTTGTAGCGCCGCTTTTTGTCTACTAGACCATTTATAGATATTTGAAATTGCTTGATAACTGTAGATTTGGTGAGCGTTTCAAGATTGCATGTTTTTTGCTCATTTTTCTCGAACATGACCTCAGTTTGACGTCAATAACTCCTGACCTAAGGTGACCTAAGACTTGAAATTTGGTGTGAAGGTGTCAAATTGATGCCCGGGAAGGTACTGAAAATTTGGCGGCGTTTTCTTGCTATTCAGGAAAAACCACAGGGGGGGGGGGCAAATTGGCCCTCCCCCAAGGGGGCGAGGGTAAATTGTGATTTTTTTGTTTTCCCTATATGTCAAAGACCCTTTATCATTTTATTCGTTGACTATTCTGTTACGGAAAGTCACAATAATTTATGAAATTCACATCGTTTTGATTAAATACATATTCACTAAGACACGGAATCATCACAGCATTGTAGCCACAAACAGTTTGCACTTTGTACTTCCTACACTTGTAAGTGTACCTACACTTATGTTTGAGCTAGGCAAATGCCTGACATTGGTTCAATCACCTTTCCAGCACAAATTACTACTATTCCAAGTCAACTTCGTGGTGCCATGATCAGGGTGGGCTCCAAAACTATCATCCTTCCGGCCGGAGTCGGTATCGGCGAGCTGACTGGGCTGCGGATCTCAGGGGAGACTGTGGAGCGGATATCAATCACCGCCGCCGACCTCCCGCGACGGATAGGGTTTCTGCCGGAGGGCCTCAAGTGCCTCAATGTCAGAGGTGAGATACCACGGATCGATACATGTAATGCCGGTATAATGGACAATGCATATGGATATACAAATGGACAGGGAGACGGCAAATGGACGAACCGTTCGAATTCAGCCAACATCTTACATCCTTGTTTGTGTTATATGGTACTATTAGAGTGATGCAATGCATGCATTTGCATATAGTGTGAGCATCAATTGCATGCATGAAATATTATTGTAGCAATTATTGTAATTTGAAATAGTTGGACTGCAACCACTACGAACCATATATTTACGTAGTTTACCAACCTGATCCGTTACTATACAGGGTGTCCCGAAATTGATGCGCGGTTGTTTTATCCTCAATAACTTATCAAGTGCTCGAATTTATTTCACGGCTTATGTGTTATCGTAATCCCCATTCAGTTGCATACACGGCATATTGCACTCTAGCGTGTCACGTTTCAGGTTGTCAAGAGTCTCTCCTTTGAAACAACGCCATGCCGTTTATATCTTCTGAAACAGCCTCTTCTCTGAGCTAGCCCTGGAAGCTTGCTGAGCTCTTTTCTGACGATTGTCCAGATAATTTGAATCGGGGACAGGTCCAGACTGTTGGCAGACCATGTCCCCATCTCCCAGAGGCCTGGGAGCCTCGCTCGGCACCAGTCCTGGGTCTTCCTGGCGTGATAAGTTGGAGTCCTTTCTTGCTGGAAAATGGCCCTGGACATGTCCGACAAAAGTTTGACTCTGGTTTTTGAACCATTTACCTTTTCCCTCAGCATCTTTGTGGCATCAGTCTTCTTCAGCACCTCGCTGACATAGTAATAAGCAGTCACGGTCTGTTCCCGAGGCACCTCGTGAAGCTCAGAGCGCCTCTGTAGCTCACCATGCTCCAAATGAGATTCTTCAGCAGACGTTTCACCGTCTCGACAGCGGACTCATCGGAGCTGCCGTTGGCCCACATTTCGATCGTTCTGGCAGTTAGGGGCTTAGAGACCACAAAGGACACCTTGTCACTGAAAAGGACGCATCTCCAGTCCTGAATGGTCCAGTTTTTGTGGGTTTTGGCGAAATCCAGCTGCCTGCACTTCTGGACCACGGTAGGCCAAGTCTGCATCCTGAAGCTGAGCAGCTTCAGCTTCAAGATAGTCTTCAAATACTGATGGAGGGTCGATTTGGATGCTGGGACATACATCTCATTCAGTTTTCTTGTCAGCTGTGTTGAATGGTGCTTTTTAAACCTCGCCGGCACAGGCCATTTTGCGTCCTTCGACGGCACAAGGGGGGGGGGTGGTACGAACCCCCCCCCTCGCGTTTGGCCCCTGATCGAGCTAGAGCTTCGCAGAAAAAAAACGAGCGTGTTGCCCGTCACGAGACGAAGCCGGTGATACCCAATTTTAAGGTCCTAGGTCATCGGGTGACCTTCCAGGTCAGGTCAATGACCCGAAAACCGGGAAAATCGGGACCTGTTAGAAAGTCGTAAAGAGTGGCTGCTATGTGGTTTTCCGGGGCGCTGATCACGAATATCGTGTCAGTTTTGATCAGAGATGATGTCTTTAAGCATTTAGACCAGGTCGGGTCAGGTCAGGTCATGTCAACCGGTAGGGGTTGTGACGGGTATTCGTAATACGTGTCAACCGCCTCTGACAGCTTCGTAACATGCTACGAAGGCACCAAAACTACTTCGTAAATGTTCAAATGGTTGCTAAATTCGAATTCAGCTCCAAAAACTAGCCTAGAAACATGTAAAACTCGAAAAAGTGAACCGAGGTCACCCGAGGTCACCAAAGGTCAATGACCTGACCTGACCTTCAGGTGACCTTGAAACCCACCCTAATGTATGGGAGCAACATCATATCACATGTTTGAACGTTTGAAACCACGAAAAGCTTGCAAACGCGCGGCTAATGCGAGCCGACATACGCCGAATCGCGATTCCGGCCAAACATGGTCTCGGAAAAGAGGTCACAGGTCAAAGGTCATTTGGGTCAGGGTCATGAAATTTTCAGGGTAGGTGTAAAATTGATTAATGCGAGGGTACTAAAAGTTTCGTCGCGATCGGGCGCTTTTTACGCGAGTTATTCGCGAAAAACCTTAGGTGGGGGGGGGGGGTTGCATCACCCCCCCCCCCCCCTGTGCCGGCGAGGGTTAAAGGTCGACTTTGCAATCACGATTTTCGCCACTCGGCTGAAGGCAGTCTTCCGCCCTCGACCTGTGCTGTTCTTGAGTGTCTCTCCTGATCATTTGCGGTCCATCCAAAGTTTAATTGTCGCAGAATTGACGCCCAATTCTCTGGCATCCGGTACCTGGGTCACACCGCCCTAGATCATCCCCACCGCGCGGTAGCGGATCGGTAGTTTGTGCCTTTTCACTTTTGGTGATATGCAGTTTCTCCACGTTGCCTGTCTGGACAAGAGTGGCCTCCCGCGCCCACTACCGGCCGCGGTCGGGTTAGTCGCTTGGTTCACGTGATCGTGTGACCAGCAAGATGTCAGTGGTGCCAGTGCCGGTAAAATTGCAGTTGTTCAGCACTCGGGAGGGACAACATAACATGCGGCACCAACCGCGCATCAATTTCGGGACACGCTGTACCTTGACTGGCTGCCTAGTGCCTAAACCAAACCAATGTGCCTTGCAAAAATCGTAATACTTATGTTGCTCATATTTGAATATTTACGTATGTATGCTGTTGCTAAAAATATCGTTGTGCAGCCGCTCGGCTGTGCTAGTGCTGGCTGTGTCAGTGTCTGACACTCTGGTGTCAGTGGTGCAGCGGGGAGCTGGCGGCAGCTCTGTCCGACTGCAGTCAGCTGACACAGCTCTGTCCGACAGGGCCGGAGGTGACGGAGCCGAGGTGGCCGGAATGGGACGAGTATGGTCTGTCAGTGTCGCTCCAGGGGGTGGCTGCCGACACCATCAGTCACCTGGCTGACCTGGGACGGACGGTCAAACGACTGTATATATACGGTGAGTAGCGGCAGCACGTACAGGCTGCTGATATACGAGCCCAGGGAATGGCGGACACCGAGTTGAGGTGTGCCGTTGTCGCACCTGGGGAGGGGTGCGATACATAGCCAATGTGCTTTGCGATATAATGAAGCTAAATGTGCTCCAAAATGGAGGAGGACTGTTCACTCAGTGACATATTCGTTCAGAGTTAGTTGATCATACTCATAACAATTGTGTTGCATTGTTCAATGAAGTTCAATGCATTTCCTTAACTGATTGCATATATCATATAATAGCACTGTTTTACCATTGTATACTGTGTCCATAAAACCATGTGAGTTATTAGGTGTTGTTTCGTTTTGTCATATTGTAGCACGCTACATCTTGACCATCTAACGTAGTATCTTTTCGGCATGGCCGGCCGGGTGACGCGCAGCTGAGCAGAGCGCTGCCGCACGCTTCCCTCCCTTGTCATTATTCCCTCCCTCCTCCCACCAGTACCCAGGTCCACCCTCCCCAATCATTTCTCACTGTCCGCACAGAATGGGCCGCCATTAAACTCCAATTAAGACAAGCACCTCTGAAGACAGTCACATTAGGATGAGTCATTGGTAGTCATTACAAAGCAGCTGAAGCTACAAGCAGACGTCGGCACGGCACACTGTGAGGCTGTGCGCAGGCTTAAGGCACGTAACACATTGGGTCTCACGTAGCCACAGACGCACCACAACAGTGAGTCACACCGCAACGGTACGTGCTGACCTTAGCAACAGCCTCCGGCAGTACAGACGTAGTTCCAGACGTCCCCACCGCGGACAGAAGGCGCTGCGTTACAGCCACGCCCGGGACGGTGGGCGGAGCAAGAGTGACGTCACAGGGGCGTTACGGCAGACGAAACGGAGTGAAACAAAAGTTTGAATAAAATGAAATTGAAAAATCTAAAGCTCGAAGATCACAAACCTTTCAGGGATTGCTTTATGCCAGCGATTGCTAAAATGATAAAGCACTCAACACGAAGACGATTCGACGGCCAAAAATTGCAGGCACAGAGGAGCAAGGTGACTAAACAGGACAGAGGGCGCCATCTTACGGACCCACCCACCAGAGGAAGACAGAGGAAGATGACGGCGCAAGGGCGTGGCAGTCACCCCTCCCCTCAAACCATAAAAGGGTACGCCACCCAACCAGAGAGAGTCACAGTCGAGCAGCCGAGAGTCACAGACGAGCAGCCGAGAGTCACAGTCTGCAGATGGAGCCGGAGACGCCATCTGGGAGCCGCCATCAGTTCGGGGTCACCCGCGAGAAGCCTCTTCAGTTCGACCGACCAGAGCCGGAGGACAGCAGCCGACGCTTGTGACCACACTGAGAAGCGGAAGCACAGAGGAACTCCAGAATGTGAGTGTTGTTGAAAAGTCTGCTCAATCCCCGATGTTTTTCTCAACGACAATGACAATCCAAAAAAACAATGTAATAAGATCAGACGTTTCGACAACAAAGTGCCTTCGTCAGTGGAAACAAGATATAGGCTTTACATTGATAAAAAATATAGAAGACAACCAGCCTGCACGAAATACAGTTTTACCTTTTTGAAATATAAGTGATATCTAATCTCGCACTAAAATGATATATCGTTCTTCTGTTTAAACTATTCTGTAAGTCATAATCACAGCATTGGAATTGACACATTGACACATGATAACAGAGACACTCCTATAGATATAGCTATTTGTTTTTAAGCACCATTTTCGCACCTATCCTGGACCAGCTGTAGAAGCCTGGTTTTATGTTAACAGTGTCTTCAAGTAAAATATATGCAGCTTCCATGGCTCTCCTAATCGGTTTTGACATGCCCTTTTCCATCACTGTAGCTGAGTCCCAAGCTGGAAGATAATGACACTTTTCTATATGAAGCACCATCGCATTGGACACATTATGATTTCGAACATCACGTTTGTGCTCTTGAAGTCGTGTCTTTAAACCCCTCCCCGTTTCACCGACATATGATTTTGAACATGGTCCAGAACAAGGTATCTTATATATAACACTGTTGTCTGATGTGTTCACCATCTTCGGTCGCACTAAATCTTGAATCTTTGATCCTGAAACGATGGCTACATTGGTTCCAGCTGATCGTAGACTAGTCGCTATTTCGTTCGCTTGTTTCGAGATGGGAATCGTTATGAATCGTCCTCGCTTCTTTTGTTCTTGTTTTTGTTTCTTCTTTTCTTCTACACTCTTCCTCCTTATTTCTTTCGCCTTGTTTTGGAGCCGAATTAAGTAACCTTTTGGATAATGAAGTCTTGTAAACGTTTCGTATATATGGATGACCTCTTCGTCGAGGAATTCTTCGCTACAAATCCTGAATGCTCGGAGGAAGAAGCCGATGACTATGCCACTTTTTACGCGATCGCTGTGTCCTGAAAGGAAGTGGACGTAGTCTTCTTTATTTGTAGGCTTTCTGTATACCTTAAATTTTGCTGTACTTCCGCACCTAATAACCAGTGTGTCCAGGAAAGGAATCGTTCCGCTGTTTTCGGTTTCAATTGTGAATTGGATTTTCGGATCGACGGCATTCAGGGCAATAACCTTCTCTTTCAGGTTCATATCGTGTGGAACTATTACGAGCACGTCGTCAATGTAACGAATCCAGGTGCACTCAGGACCCATGATATGTTTGTACTTTTCTTCCTCCAGGTTTTCCATGTACAAGCAAGCCGCTACTGGACTTAACCCGCGCCCCGTTGTGCTCTGCCGAGCAACGCGCCCGGTTGGGGGGGGCATTTTGCCCCCCCCCCCTAAGATCTCGAGAACCACGCAACATAGCGACAAGCGGTAAACGGCGTTGGATAGCCCCAACGGGGAACTACCTTGTGACCCAATTTTATTGACCTAGGTCAAACCGATGACGTCACAGGTCAGGTCAAAGGTTCAATTTTCACCGTTTACAGGCATTTCAAGAAATGCGTTGTAAAATCGAGTAAAATGCATTTCATTGAAAATCATCGATGGGGAAATGTTCTTCAAACACATATATTACTATTTGAGGTCACTGATACCAGGTCAGGTCACAGAGGTCAGGTCACGGGGGGTCACAATATGAAAGTGTCGTGTGATACATGTTTTATGGTCCATTTTACATGACAAATGCGATTATGTGGGTAAGGCAGCCTTTGGGGCCAGCTTAGGTCACGTTTTGGTCAAGTTCAGGTCAAGGTCAGGTCAAGGTCAGGTCAAATTAGGTCAAATTTCAAAGTTAATATTTTTGCATAAAATGGGTATCGAATCGATGCAGCTCGTCACGGGGAGTTCAATGGTGGTCTTTGTTTTGCCGTACGTGGTCTAGAATCGCTAAAAATTGAGTTCAAAAATTTGACGTCATCATTTTTGAACAGTTTTTTCGCTATAACTTGGCCAAAAAATGAGATATTGATCTGAAATTTGGTATGTATATAAAAGAGCGCTGGGACTATCACATACATTCCGGTTTTTTCGAAATTCGGAAAAATTTTGGGTTTTTCATAAGTTTTTCTAAAAAAAACAATTTTTTGATTTTTTTTTGGTCAAAAACCAAAAATTTTGAAAATCCGAGATAGCAGTTTTGTAGCGCCCCTTTTTGTCTACTAGACCATATAAAGAACTTTGAAATTGCTTGATAACTGTAGATTTGGTGAGCGTTTCAAGATTGCATGTTTTTTGCTCATTTTTGCTCGAACATGACCTCAGTTTGACCTCAATAACTCCTGACCTAAGGTGACCTAAGACTTGAAATTTGGTGTGAAGGTGTCAAATTGATGTCCGGGAAGGTAGTGAAAATTTGGCGGCGCTGCGCGCCGCCGTTTTCTTGCCATTCAGGAAAAACCACAGGGGGGGCCAAAATGCCCCCCCCCCAACGGGGCGAGGGTTAACGGAGATCCCATGGCTAAACCATTTGACTGAACGTATTCAGTGTCAGTCCAGTGGCGTATCCAGGGGGGAGGCCAAGAGGCCATGGCCTCCCCCTTTGGCATCAAACATGCAAGTGGGCCCTTTGGGTCACTTGAGTGCAGTGACGTACCCAAGGGGGGCCACGGGGCCCCGGGGGGCCCCTGGTCACTTGAGGGGCCCCTGATTATCTGAGGGGCCCTTGGCTACCTAAGGGGTCCCTGGTTATCTGACAGGCCCCTGGTTGTCTGAGGGGCCCCTGGTTATCTGAGGGGGCCCTGGTTACCTGAGGGGCCCGTGGTTATCTGAAGGAGTCCTGATTACCTGAGGGGCCCTGGCTATCTGAGGGGCCCTGCGTTACCTAAGGGGCCCCTGGTTATCTGTGGGCCCCCTGATTACCTAAGGGGCCCGTAATTACCTGAGACCCCCTGGTTATCTGAGGGGCCCCTGGTTACCTGAGGGGCCCCTGGTTATCTAAGGGACCCCCAGCTACCTGAGGGGTCTCTGATCCCTTGGGTGGCCCCTGGCCAGTGTCCTGAAGAAACCCTGGTCGCCCAAGGGGCCATGTTTACCCGGGGATTACCTGGTTATATGAAGGGCCCCTGCAGTCACATGAAGGCATTTAGGTACCCGTGGAGCTCCTGGTATAACCGGCCCCCGGTTATCAGAAGGTCCCCTGGTCACCTGGTGGGCCCCTGGTCAATTGGAAGGCCCCTGGTCACCTGAGAGGCCCCTGATCACCTGAACAGCCCCTGATCACTTGGATTCAACGGCATAGCCAGGGGCGAGGGGCACATGTCCGTTATAAGGTTTAGGGTCCCCTTGGGCCCGAGGGACCCTGCTGGCAGCAGAGGGTTCGCGCTGGCCACGCTTCAACTGGAAAGGACACCACAGGGCTTGTGAGAACACCCCATGGTCTCTTGTGTAGTCACACTTATCTCCAGAAGGGCCCCACGCCGGGTTCTGGGGGACCTTGCCGGCCTCTGAGGGCCGTTGCCGGCCAATCAGGGATCAGCTGTAAGGGCCCCATACCCGTTTATTATGGCTGTCACCGACGAAAGTGCTCGGACAAACCCGCGCTACCGCTGTGCCGCCGTGATAGCCGGCCGGCCGCCGTGCCACCGCGGCGCCGCCGCCGCTCGCTGCAGCCGTCCCGCCGCCGCACCGCCGTCACCCCGTCCAGACTCAGGATGAGTTGTGAGGCATTGTGCAGGGCGGGGCCGCGAGCAGACGCGGCCGGCGGTCGGTACGCGTGCCGCCGACGCTGCCGAGCCGCAGCAGCGCCGCGGCCGCCACCGAGACCGAGATATAAATTAAAGACACGTCGTTTTAAGGCACGTAGGCCGCCAAGCTGGCGCCTTCAGCCACCTCCCCGCTGCAGTGCAAGTTCGCACTCGTTTTGCACACGTCTTAAGCATTGCGTATAAAATGTGGGTCACGTACGACCCCGGCAGAGTCTCACTTCGACCGTCGCGCTGTGCGCACGGACTGATCTGCCCCGCTCGACGCCTCGCCCGGCTGAGCGGGGACAGAGTACAGAAGCACGCGCGCAGACCGACTCTCCTGCGCGCAGCCGCGCCCGGCGGGGCAGTGTCAGTGCTTCAGATTGTACAGCGAATGTGAATTGTGCTCCGTGTCTGCGTGTTTTATCTACCGGTTTTCTTCACAACTGCTTCCGCTTCTTGCTTCGCGTATACTTCAATAAATCCTCTACGGGAAATCTTCACGTCTATCTACTACTGAAAATCGCCGAATATCAAAAACCCAGGAGCTCACATAGCAGGCGGGCGGGCTACGAATGTCGCACAAACTCACCGAATAAAATACAGTCCACATCCAACCAGAAAAGAACTCCGAGCGACAGTTTGTCGGCGACATTTGCTGGTCCTCCGGGCCGGATCCTGAACTATGGCAAGTGGAGAAGCAAGCCCGTCTCTAGAGCGAATGGGGGAAAGTGACAAAGAAGAAACCGCTGACATGGAAGAAGTACCAGCTGAACCAGCCGCTGCAGGTCAAGGACAAGCTGCAGTGACTACAGCCCGAGAAGAACCACGAGAAGGCCAATGCTCCAACGAGGAGTGGCGGCACCTCAGACAGGTGAGAGGTCGTCATCGGGCGGCTCTCACAAGGATTTTCCGGCGCGCTGAAGCTCTCGTGACAGAAAGAGCCTCACGCGTCCAGTTTGGAAATATCCGCAGATAAATGGACAGCGCTTTCCAAGCG